CGTAAAAACTAAGCCCAATTTTTTATTTCATTTTTTCGCAACTATGCTTCAATAATAAATATGATTTATGGTTGAGTAATGCCTAAAAAATGTTAACAAATAATAACATTTAATCTAACACATTTCATCAATTGTTGACAGTTAAATACACAATTAAATTTCGTTTGTCAATCATTGTGAGGGGAATTGACAACTTGTGAGTAACATCTCTACAATTTTGTATGTGACCATTTTTGTACGTTTGGTCAATATTAAACTGACCCAAATTTTTAATAATTAAAAATTTGAGTAAAAATTAGCACAAAGTTACAATACACTTTCAAAATAAAATATGTAACTTATTGCTGTATTCTAACACCATAAAATCACAATTAACATACAAAAGAAGATTATTCAAAAAACTGTTGAATTAAAAATTAATTTAACTAAATATCATTGAAATAGAAATGGAGAATTTTCATTTGTACTGAAGTAAAATCATTTTACTTTTGTTATTAATAGTATTATTGAAAATAATGATTAAAAATTAGATCCTTAAATTTGATAAACAGTTTTAAATTTTCTAGTAAAAAAATATTTATTAACATTAACATTATTTTGTATACAAAACAACGATTTTGTTTATTAAAATTTATCTGTCACCTTACTTTTTCCTTGTACTATAGTGCCGATTGATTATATGTACACTATATGCTTTTTTAGACTAAAACACTCTCTTACTGTACAAAATTTCAACACAATCCGAGATGTATTTTGGGAATTGACAATTGTAAAGTTAGCATATTTATATAAATTTATTCGGCAAGCAGGTGTCGTAAATTACATGTGGTGAAATGTTATTCTAGGCAATCAATTTAATAGTTCGATGAATGACAAACGGTATCAACACTTTCAGTAACAAACTAAATGTAAACTTTCAATAAAATCTAAACAATTTCTTTTAAAGGGAGTTCTAGGTAACTTTTAAGTATTGATTCTTGAATTTCATTTCATATAGGAGTTATACTTTTTAAATTTTTATGTTCACGCTAAAACTTGATGCAACTATGTTTCAAAATAGAACCAGACAAAATAGTATAATAATTTTTGTTTTAAACATTACAAGTTATATATAAAATTAGTTTAATACTAAAATATAATAATAAAAATACAAAATTTTAATATTAATAATATAGTATAAAAATTAAAGCCAAAAGTATTATAAAATAAAAATGTCAATTTGTTTTTCCTATATAAAATTTATAACAGCTATAGTTAATAAATGACCGGTTTGGTGTTCCATTAATTTTGCTATTAATTGTTTTGACTAAATTATTATCAAACAAAACAAATAAAATAGACAAAGAGATTTTTTGTAATCTTTTTTATATTATTTGTCATTAAAATAACCTTGTAAATTGAAAATAGTCCATAACAAATAAATACATTTTCAAATTGCACGACGACATTTTTAAACACATTTAATAGCCACCAAATAAAAAAAAGTTTAAAAATGTACACAAACAACAATCGAAAGTCATATAAACGAAGCAGTAGAATGTAAATGAGCTGTGAATATATTACAAAAATGCATTTTATTCGTTTACTGTATATGTATATTTTATATTCACATAGCAGGCCTGTATTGGTAAGATGAACATTCTAGAAAATTTCGATATCCCTTTAATTAAAAACTGGTCGTAACTATTTGGGTTTAAGATAGACAAAACATATTCAAAAGTGTAAAAAATACATCATTGAGAATCAGGGTTAGACGTGAGCGGCGGGCCTTTTCGGTAAAAATGTTGATAGGTTTCTTGTTACCCATTCGATGCTATGTTAAAAACATTCATGTCGAAAATACATGGCCTATAGAACATATTTAATTTATCCATACATATTAATTTTAATAAAACTATTACGATCATATATATATATATATATATGTCACCTTAATAGTTTTTTTTATACGATGAATCAACAGACATATCATAAAGTAAGCATTATTAAAAAATAATAAAATATTCTACTGGAAATAAAATTCATGTTGATCAGTCAATCAATAATTTTTAATAGGTCCAAATTGTTTTAATAAACGACATTAAAACAATATTTTCTCACTTGGTCTAAATGACTGGTGTATTTGAAAGCAAAACAAGTGTACAAGCCAACCAAAATAATAGATACACAAATACAAGCCATGGGAATAAATAGAATTGTCAAAATCTTTTATAAACAGTAACTAGGATTATAGAGCAACATTGAGAAATTTGATCACTTTAGACATATCTTAAATTGAAATCCAACAAATTATTTTATTAACATGAAGATAAAATTAATTTAAAAAACTATTTTTAGAAGTTATATTTTTAAATATACTGTCACAAAAAACCGTATAGTTATTAAGTTCATATTTACTTTAAGGCCATATGGTAAATATCTAACGCATTTTATGATACTTATAAGCTTACTTCATAAATAAAAATTCAATATTTAAATGCTATGACATGACACGTGTGTCAACGTAATATCTTTGTGGCACACGGGTAAAACTTTCAGAGTCATGATTTTATGAAAATTTATTTGAATTTTAAATAAAACTTGTTATTTTATTTATTGGTGGATAGTTGCTTCTTGCACGACACCATTCAATTAAATGCGTGTATTATTTAATATTAAATCAACACAAAAATCTTAAAAGATTAGTTCAAATCATAAGCGTCAAATTACAAATGATTGATGGTTTATAGTTTTGATTTTAAACCCTCTTTTGTTTAAAATTATTCCTGTTATAGTTTTAGCTTCGATGCATAGCTAAGAAACTATTGGTTTTACTTTGCAATGTGTTTTTGTGTCTGTGTGTGTCCATATACGTCATTACTCTTGCTTCTTCTGGACTGATTTTGTTCAATGGAACGTCAGAAAATCACAAAACGTGTCTAGTTGAAGATTTCATTGTCATAATTATGAAGAATTCCTCTTAACTATCGTAATAAAAGGGAACATGCCGAAGAATTATAATGGTCATTAAACAGTCAATGTTGATATTTTTAGTTTTCTTTATATATTAAAATAATTTTTAAAACTATGAGGATTATTGCCATTAAATAATTTGTTTTGATAATACTTCAAGCATTGTTATGCTGGTGATATGTTTCTAACCTCTAAAAACGATAATAATGTAATTTTTATTGGATATAATAGTTATTTTAAAATCGATCTATTTAAATAATGCAAAGATCAAAATATAATTTTTAGTAGTAATATTTTAAACATGACCTTAATTTCAAAATATTTTTTTTTTTTTTTGATAATTTTTTAATTTACCAAAGTACTGAGTGGAGGTAGAATCATTTTAAATTCATTTATTTTTATTTTTTAATGTTCCAAAAAATCATGTTCTTACAACTTAAATAAAATTAGAATTCATACGTGAATTTTAAGATGAGAAGAAAAATTATACGAAATTTTGACTCTTAGGAATTATTGGGCATTAAAGACGAAAATTATATAATTTTTGGTAAAAATAACCGACTTTGTAATATTTTGCATGGTAACAAAATGCTTACACCATTATAAGTTATTTAAGATTAAAGCTTGTTCAATGTAATATATAATTACAAATAGAAAAACTTTCCGGTGACTCATCCTCTTTGATTAATCACCTCTGAAGTCAAAAACCATTTAATTTTTGGTAAATATATTAAATTTTTTTTTAATTGTTTTAAATACGCATTGCGGCGTATCAAGAAAGTTATTTTAATCACTGTCAAATATCAATCAACACTAATCTAAAAAATGCCTCAAATCCACTTTACTATATTCTTGCTGTACTTTAATTTTTTTATTTTAAAATGTTATTTTCAATTACTCCAAAAACGATTGGTATTGTGTATAAATGAATAAAACAGGATTTAAAGTTTATTTATTTTTTTAATGGTAAACCATGTACAAAAAAATGAAGATTTGAAGCAGATTACACTATTTTAAGACTGTCATAATCTTTTATTAATTTATACCACCATTATGATACTATTACTAAATATGTTATTTTATAACTTATAGATAGACAAACTTAACCGTTCGTTGAATCTTAAAATTTATGTTAAAAATGGATCTAAGGAACAAATTAACTATTATTTATCAGCCAAGTTTTATTAAATTATTGTTATAATTTAATTATAAATAAGTTAAATTATTAAATTAAAATTTAACTTGCAGGTTAATTTTTTTATTTATATATTGTATATTAAAATAAATATAAGTCTCATATAAGAATATGTTTTATCTATATGTTACAAAAATATTTTTGAAAGATGCTGAAACTGCTTACTGGGTTGTAATTTCGGGAAAAGTGTAAATAGTGTAAAGTTAATATATAATAAATATCATAAAAATTTAATATGATTGAAAAATTAACTTTTAAAGCTTTTCCAAATGTGTTTGCTCTAAAATTTAAAAGCAGCCGAAAACTTTAAATACTAAAAATAAGTAATAATTAGTGGAATGCTCCTAATTGACTTCATGACTATGAAGTTTGAAAATCATATATGTTTTATTCAAATTCTTTGTATACAATGAATTCGATCAATTAATAACAATTTAGACAGCTATTTTTTTCTCTTGTAGTTTCATAATTGTAGTATAAATAAGACGCTGAAACACTGAGTTTTATTTTTAAATGAACAATAAAATTATGTTAAAGTTATGTCATAAGTGTAAGTAAAAAACATTTCAAATGTCAGTAGATATTTAGTCATTTTTTCTTTTGTGAAAATGTATTTAATATTAACTTTACAACTTATGAGGTAAAAAAAAAATAACTTTAATTATAAAAAATACCTGAAAATTTAAAAAAAATTTTATTTAATCTTAAAAGTTACCTGTAGAATTTTTTTATGTTGTATAAAGTTGACAAATTTAAAAAAGAAAATTTAGTAACACTATCATAATAACTATACCATGTATTTCATATTAAACTTGACTTTGATAAATTCACAAAAATAGTTCAATAAACATACCTGTTCTCAAATATACTTCTAATCAAATGGATTAAACGAGTTTGGTATATAAGATATCGAAAAAAATTACATTTTTTACTTCTATCAAATTATTATTACAAAGGAAACGCACTTGTGAATTAGACATGGGCAAGTCTGAAAAAATAAATTAATAAAATGGACAAAATTGTCATTTTTAAAATTTTAAAAATGTAATAGCAATTCCGGTCAATATTTTGATACCCTATACGAGTGATGAATGTCAAATCACACGTGTTATGATCAACGAGACCGAACGACATGAAGCCAACGTGTTAGTCGTTCCAAGCGCGTGACACGACTGCAGTGAATTTTCACGGACAATTCGAGTAAAACGGTAAACCTTAAGCTTTAACCGTAACACTTAATACACTTGCGTTAGTTTTCGAAAAGAAAAACTACTACCGAATATCAGATTAATAATAAAATATTGTGTATATTTAAATAAGTAAAATTAAAAATATTTATATTCACAATAAATAACACTATAAAATCTACAGATCCTATTCAAAACAAGACTTCAATTCATTCATTCAAAAAAATGAATTTTTTCATTTTTCTTGTCGTGCTATAACATAATACATGTGTCATAATGACTTAATTTCTATAAAACTATAATTTGATAGAAATCATATTAATACAATTAATTAGACTAGATTTTAAGTATTTAAGTCGTTGCAACACATATTTAAAAGATAATTATCTAAAAAATTATCAATTTTTTTTTAAATCTATAATTTGGATTTTTTTAATTTATAATTTTTTAAGCATGTTATATTGACTATCTATGAAACATTTGAATTGAGTTTCTTAACATTTTTATTTTTACGTATACGTAGCCAATTTTTAAAACTGAAAAATTGTTTGAATAAAATAGAATTATTTTTATAGAACTATAAAAATTCTACTAAATATATTTATACTATTGTTTCTTTCAGCTAAAAACAGATGTAGTTTATTACAAAATGTTCAATTTTTATTTTACATAATTCATGTATGTGTTTTAATACTACGACTTTTTAATATCTAGTGATTGAACATTTTTTACATACATAAACGAGTTTTCGATCATTTAATATTAAAACACTTACAAGTGTGTAAAACTTATGTGTATATTTAAAATGTTATAATGGCGTATTAGAATTTTTAGATCATTTTTACAGTATAGGTTTTATGATATGTTCTTTTTTTGTCGTTTTAATCACAATTTTATGCTAACACACTGTATAACATAAATACAAATCATATTACTGAGATGAAAAGTTTATAAGATAACAGAATAAATGAATTTCATTCAAGAGAACTAATTAAATTTACTCATATGAAAAATATACCACAAAAATCTATAGTTTCTGTATTTTACAGAAAATCTTATTATTTGATTAAAATAACTCAAAATCAACATTTGCAAAATTCTATTTTAACTTAACCTTACATTTAACAAAATAAAAACGGTAGCACAGTGGGGTCGCGGCATAGTGGAGACATTGCATAGTTGGGTTCAGTCTAGATTTAATCTGACAGTGATTAAAATCACTATCATAAGAAACGCTTCGATGCAAATCTGTAGATAGTGTTTAATTTTAAAAAATTGTTGGATAATTGCAAAAGCAACATCAACTTCTATTAAAATAAAATACAAAACCCATAATTTTCATACAAAAATAGCATATTTTTGAATATGGTAGCCATTTGCGTATAGAAGATAGGTCGTCGGGACAAATTTTTTTTTTTCATTTTGTAGTACATAAAATAAGCTTTAATTTTATATATGTTTAAAGGACGCAGTATTTCCGGAACATT